AAAAAAGTGGATCAAGGTCAGCAGAGGGTCGCGGGTGAGGATTGCGGGGCAAAAACATTGTGGGCGGAGCCTGCTCCGAGGTGGGCGGAGTCAGACAAAAGATCTGTAAAACGGTCCCAGAGCACTTCAAAGACCGGAAAAAAGTGGATCAAGGTCAGCAGAGGGTCGTCGGTGAGGATTGTGGGGCACAAACATTGTGGCCTGCTCCGAGGTGGACGGAGTCAGACGAAGAATCTGTAAAATAGGTCAAGAGTACTTCAGACACCGGAAAAAAATGGAGTACAGAACAAAAGGGGGATATCAGTTGAATCTAGAAATATGTGAAAGAAAGCACGCGCGGCGAAGCCGCGCCCGCCCGGCGCAGCCGGGCCGTATCAGAAGGAGCCACGCCGGCACCTCGTAGCTCGGGGCGAAGGCCGGACTGGTAAAAAATTAATATTTCAGAATACAGCCAGAACTTCGGAAAAATCTAAAAAAAGAAAAAGGAATAAAAAAATCAACGACTAATATCGAATGCGAAAACACTGTGTTTACAGAAACAATGCCTGAGAGATACTATAACCAGAAACCTGGCATCATAGAAACTACAACTCTTATGATACATGCCACGAACTCAAGGATTTAATTATTTGTACGAGCATCGCTTACGATCTCTCCTGCTTCATATTTTCAAGAATAGATTTCTGCTGAATTAAGAACATACTACTGGTTCAAGTCTCCAGTGCTTCTTCTAGCATGCGAAAGTACATTCGACGGATTCAGAGGAATTGGCAGTTCTCCAACGCAATCAGGAGCTTCTCTGTAAACCAGATAATTTTTCCAGCCTCAAAAGCGGAATTTCAAATGTGTATGAGCCATCAGACCTTCGAGTATTTGGCCTCGGTGGGCGCCGCACGAGCCTCAACAGGTCTGGATCAACGCGAGAGAGACAGCAGTCGATAACCAGGAACCTTAGAAGAATCCTTTGAAGAAAAAACAAAACGATCGGGTCATTAAACACTGACAAAAGTTAGGAAACATTACCGTGATTCGAGATTATCCAGAACATTCGCACCTGCCCGTTCGTGTCGAGCCATCTGGGCAAGCAACGTTATTTAGAAAACTGTTTTAAAACTATAACAGGGTAAAAGCGCCTACCTTTGAAGTCCTCCTCCATGCCCCGTACTTGCCCTGAGACTTTGCTGAAGAATTTCTGAACACATCGATGAATGAAAATGAATTGCATGGGAGTTTCCACGGAGAACGGTCGTTGGAGACGAAGGAAATGAACCGCCTTTTGAATTGGATGCTAAAGAGAAACGCAAACATATTTAGCCCAAAAATTATAAAATCCATTACAACGCAAGTTTGCAACAAATCTACCTTGTAAGTAGGACCTCTGATAATGCTACAGATCGCCAATTCAGTCGCAACTACACATGCTGCACGCGAAATACCTGCAACCAAACGATTCAGACCGTTCATATAATCTACAAGTTTGAGTATTGATTCATTACAACCACTGAAACGGATATTACTAATAGTCATAGCTAGCCTTCAATCTATAATGCCTCATAGTTGTAGAAATTTACCGAGACAGTCGTGTATGATCACTGGTCGAGAGCTGTTGCGAGCAAGGCGAAGAATAGTAAGTGGTGAGTTCAAATTACTAGAATTATTCATATCTGCCTGCCAGTGTTCAACGCGGTGCTGAAAACATAAGTTCTGGAACATGCCACACAGAAAAAAATTTCATTGTTCAGCTCAATACAGTAACTATGTAGTAACGCAGTCCTACGGCGTCATCTGTGTATCCATTTCTGTATGGTCCCAGTGCGAAATCCTGTAGCGCAGTCAAGCAGAGGACAGCGGCTCAAAGATACGAAACATGCAAAAAACATGTGAGCCAGGAGACGTGCTTTTTTGAGGGGAAGAAACTCCAGGTCGCGAGCCTTTTATCACGTGTGAAAAGCTGGATTTCGTAAGGTCGTCCTGCATGGAATGCCATGCAAACGAGAGAGATTGTAAAGAAAAACTGAAAATTAATGTGATTCCGTTTTGATGATGTTTGTCACAAAGTTTTACTCTTACAGGAGAAATACAGGATGTTAGCGATACATACAAACAAAAGAAAGTGGTAGTTGCAGAAGAGTGAGAGGAAGTCAACCCATTAACCATAAGCCAACCCGTTTTAGGCATTCTCACAACCGCTGATTGAAAACAAATACCATTTATTTATTCGAAGCAGTCTTGATAAGGAGCTCAGTGACGTAGACGACCTTCGCTTACATATCTCCGGGGATAAAGTGGGTGTGGCCGCGTACTTCATCATAACCTGGCAGCGGCTTGCGCTGCCAATAGGATACTACTTCTTTGAGGACTTGTGATAATGTCTTTGACCAGCACAAGACAATACGAGAAAGGGATCGAATGGAAAGATCCCCTGAATGATCCATTCTACGCCATGCTCATATAGAGTACGCAGCCACGCCCCTTCCACCTTCGCGGATATCTACTGTACCTTGTCAGGGCACGAATCCTTCAACGCGACGTCTTTCACTTCACATGGCCGATGAAGACTGTATCAGCGCTATTCAAATTCAGCAGCAATCGATTTGTTGCAAACGCTTGAAAGCTATTTTCTGTTTCTTTACTTTTGTTTTTCCGTTCTTTTTTCTCGATTTGAGATGGCGTGTAGTACTGGAAAATGCGAAGACGATTTATGAGCTATGTTCTGCACAGAGGCCGTGGGCTGTCGAGTCGCCAGAAGTCGTACAATGAGGCTATGTGACTGTATGGAGGGGGCTTCGTTTGAGGTGTTCTCAATGTATTTTTTTGCTTCTTCCTCTACTAGGAAACCACTTATCGGCTGCTGGTCCGTAATTGAACGCCGACTACTCGTAATACCTGATCGCGGGAATTTTCTTTAAAGACACATGGTACGTTCAAACACATTGAGGGTGTATGAGACTATCAGCCCCCCAGCTGTCGATGTGTCGTGGT